GATTGGCCCTCTGATTTTTAAGTTAGCGACTGCGAACGATGGAAATTTAGAGAAAAAGGAAAGGATTCGCAGCTTAGAGATGAAGGGAGAGACGTTTTTTTTCTAGAGAGGAATCAGAGAGAGCATACCTATGCGATCAGATTATTATTGTATATAACTATTGGTGGAATGTCGTTTATGTTGGACAGGGGCCGATAACTTCTGGTGAAAGGGTATAAAAAATGACATCCATACCGTTTTGGAGGCCGATACATGTGCAATCATTTAGACAGTGATAGTATCATTGTGTGCTCCGATGAAATGATGTTAAATTCATGTTTTGTCAAGATCAGACTGTCAAGCAACAACTTCTCACTATCAGGTGGAATTATCCAGACCTATTGGGAATTACCATTGCTACCTATCGTTTTGGGGGCCGATACATGTGCAATCATTTAGACAGTGGTAGTATCATTGTGTGCTCCGATGAAATGATGTTAAATTCATGTTTTGTCAAGATCAGACTGTCAAGCAGCAAATTGTCACTGTCAAGTGGAATTATCCAGACCTGTTGGGAATTACCATTGGTACCTATCGATGTCGGCAAGACACGTGTAATGGATCAGTTGATTAGTTGAAATCGCTTTATTGATTTCCTAAAGTTCCAATAGATATCTACCACATAAATTTGTCCTTATATTCGTAAATCATATATATGACATTTGGGTACCATAACTTTTTTTTTCAACTATGTGAGTGTCATGATTTTGAAAAGACGATCATTTAAGTGTCGTAACTTTTAATCAATCACTTGAATGTCAAAACTTTTTAAAAACGTTTACCTAAGTTTTAGAAATTAGACGTGACATAACATTTGTGGCGAACGTTTTTAAAATGTTATAGCACTTAAGTGATCAATTGAAAGGTTACATGACATTCAAGTGATCGGAATGGTATTCATGTGAACGCCATATTAAAAATATAGCACTTAAAAGTGTTTTTTTTCCATGTAAATTGCATTCCACCCTCTGATTCTATCAATCTTGCAAAAGCTAGGCACTTCATTTGCAGTACATGGAATGTCCGAACATGAGAAAACAGCCAAAACGTGCCTGGTAAAAAGGACGAGAGAAACGAGCAAGGCGTCGGGCGTAGATTTTCAAACAGCTTTGTGGAGGATTTGTCCGTGGCATCGGATGCCGTAATTTTCGACCGGTAAATAAATTATCATAAAAGTAATTATTTTGTCAGTGACCATCAAAACAAGGCCAGCACAAAGTACAAAATATAGTTTTGCTAGAGATAATAACACAAACAGTTCATGAACTTTAACTTAATATATAATTTGATCCCTGAATTTTTAATTTGTTCAATGTGATCCCTAAACTTTTAGCCTAATGTTCAATGTAGTCTCTTGAACTTTGCTGTAGTGCATAGATTTTTTGTACATGTTCAATTTAGTTCCTAAACTATATGAAAATGTACAATGTAGTCCCTGAACTTAAATTAATGGAGGGACTACAGTGGACATTTTCATATAGTTCATGGACTAAATTGAAAATCTGCCAAAAGTTCTGGGACCACATTGGACAAAATTAAAAGTTCATAGACCACATTGAACATTAAGCTAAAGTTCATGGACTACATTGAACAAATTAAAAGTTTATGGATCAAATTGTATATTGGACCAAAGTTTAGGGACTGTTTTTACTACTTATTATGTGCGTGTGAGAGAGAGATTAAGGGATGATATTTCGTACTGTTTCTACTTTCTATAGAAATATATTAAATGCTTCTTAATTGTATATCACAAGTACAGTTATTTCTTTAGTCCTGTGTAATATCTATATAGAAAATGACGTTTATTAAATGAGGAGTAGCAAATAAAGTGATGAACCGATAAAGACAGAGAAAGATGGAAACATAAATGGGTCAGACTATTTTTGACATCCTTTTTCTTTTTGGTAAAAGAACACATTCTTAAGCGAAACGGCTAAACATTACTCTCTCTCTCTCTCTCCATACATTTTCATTATCTCTCTCGTTCGCATACTACATTTAAATAAATCCCGAAAATGTTAACAATTTTTTCTCACATTTTAAATTGTTCATGACTTGACGTGTGAAATAGTATTACTAAAAAGTTTAGTCTCTTTCTTTTTTTTGGTTTTTTTTTTATCTTGTGTAGTTTTTTTGGTTTTGAGTTGGAGGAACAAAGTAAATCCTAAATTGAGTTTTTATGGTTTTCTCCCCCTCCTGAAGTAAACTAAGGTAAAGAAAGTAGCAATTCGTGGATCATAATCGCCCAAGTTATGTGTTAGTAAACATCAATACATGCTTAACCTGAGTTAAAAGCTAATTTGGTCAATCATATTAAAACAGGTCATTTTAGCCCAAAAAATGTGGAAATGGCCCCAATAATAATGTGCTCATTAATGTTAAGAGAGAGATGCTCTAAGAAATATGGCCAAAAAATGGTGTAGATTTCTAATATCACTCCATTTGCTTCCATTTCATAATATACTAGACCTTAACCGGTGCTTCTACGCGGATTGTTTGAGAGCTTCGCTAAATAAGGAGAAATCTATGGCATAAAGCGAGCGTCTAGGCAATAGTACCTTAGATTTATTTCATCGAATTGTCTGCCATCTTAGCAGATGGGTTTACATTGATGGAGGAGGGCTATTGTGTTTATGTAAAAAGGGTCCACGTAATTATTTTCATTTCTACTTTCAACAAAAGGACTAACATGAAAAATACATAGTTCTAAGACTACTGTATAGAAAAAAGTTCAAGTCTCAAATCGAACATTTCAAGAAGCTCAGGTATCGTCGATGCCTTATCCTTAGAATTCGATAATACATTGGTTGACGGATCTTTTCAGATACGTGGAAGACTTGTGAAGCCCACTCTAATCAATGATGGAAAGTAACTATTTTTCAAAGTCGAAAGACAGATCATCATCATCTATGAACAGCTAAAATCACATGCAAACTCCCAAAGCGGTGCATTGATGAGCCTCAACTAAGCACTCGTCTACTCTATTCAATGGTGGAAAGCGAGATTGCTAAACATTAAGAAGGTAGGTGCTTGAATTGAGAGGAGATCATATAGAAAGGAGTAACCCCTAGCCAATGGAAGTTCATTTAGTTACTAGGATTACAGTGTGTGTTTGTGGGTATTCAAACTTCAATTTTAACTCTGTTCATGTTTGCAGAAAATGAATGAATTGAAAAAAAAAATTCCTCAAATAATCATATATATTATTTGAAATATTTAGTTAATAAAAAATATTTTCATTATCGATATCAATTTATATCTAAATATTTGCGTAGACAATAAATAAAAATTTTGTTCATTCATTTTTATAAGCAATACAAGCGATAATTTTCATGAAAATATTTTTTAGATCATTTATTTTTTGCGAAATAAACGAACCATCTATAAAATACCATAGGAAAATCTTCTATTGTGGAGATTCGGCTCCTTTGCTATTTGCTCCCAATCAACGCCATCCATAAGTCTACCTAGCAAATTTTGAGTTTCTCCAATTTTGAAACCCTAGATCTTATTATATTCAATTTCCAAATTAGGGGTCTACTTCGTTTGATTTGTGGTATCCGTGGAACTTCCATCGCTAGATAGTTCGTTAAGATGAGATATTAAGGGTGCGAATGATAGCCATTATGTTTTTCTATTTTTTTATTATTTTTGTTCTCGAGAGCAAGTTTGTAATAGAAATCCATTTGGTGAAATAAATTTATTTTTCTATTTCCGGGATAAATTTTTAGCCCATAGATGAAAATTTAAAATTTTTTACTTTTCTATTTATGGAACTGGAACAAAAACAACAACTCTCTTTTATTACTCTCCCTCACCTTCGCCACCCATCCGCTAGTCGTCCACTGCCGCACACTGGCTGTCCACCGCGGCCATGTGTTGGTCGTCCGCCGCCACTCGTCGTCCGCTCGTCGCCTGCCGCTTGTCGGCCATTTGCTACCAGTCGTCGGTCGTCGCCCGCCTATTCGCCGATGCTGGGAACAGATATTTAAGAACAACTTATCACACAAATTTTTATTTCGAGAACAAAAAATTTATATCGTTATTAAACGTTACTTTTTTGCTCATAAACTCGTCCAAAGAATAACCAGAAATAGGGCTAGGGAAGAGAAATTTTGTCGTTCACGCCCTAAAGGTCGAGAAACCCTAAATCATAATTTGATTCACAATGAATTACTTTTAAACGTGTAATATACATCAAAACTATTTGTTTTACATTTATTATCAGAATATTGCGTAAATTTATCACTTCTCATACATCGACTAAAGATTTTTCATCAAACCAAGCATAAAAGTAAAATATGCAAAGTTAGAAATTCGTTTAACCGACTACCAAAAGGAAATGCACGCACGTGATCGTGCCACGTGATTCAATCCCACGCGAGCTTTACCAAGTCGTGAGCTAAGGCTCGGAGGTAAAGATAGTCTAGATGACTAAAATATTTTTCGCCTTCAACAAAAAAAAGCATTTTATACCTAAAATTAAAAAAAAAAGGGAAAATGATATAAATTGTCAAACTTTGTCTCAAAGTGTAATGTTTTTCCCGAATTTTTAATTTGTTCAATATGATCTCCGAATTTTAGCTTAATATGCAATATAATCCATGAATTTTTAATTTGTTGAATGTGGTTCTTGAGCTTTTAGTACCTTTTGAATTTAGTTCCTCAATTACATGAAAATTTTCAATACTGTCCCTAAAACGTCTAAGAACCACATTCAGCGTATTGAAAATTCAGGGACCACATTGTACACGGGGCTAAAGTTTTTGGACTATATTAAAAAGCTGAAAAATTTAGAGATTATATTACATATTAGGTCAAAATTCATGAATCATTTGTGTCATTATCTCAAAAATGAAATTAAAAAATAAAAAGGAAATTATGGAATGAAACTTCACAGCATCCAGAAGCTATTTTGCTGAGTACACTCCTCAGCATGCCAAAACCACACACCCACCACAACCGCACGGCAGTGCTCCACACTCCACGACACAGAGCAGGCTGAGCCAGCCTACATACACTCCCCCTGCCTCCTTCGTTTTCATCGTCAAGCTCTCGCCTTTACACCGCTCTCGATCTTGTTCCGACCCCTCCGTCGCAATCGGGGCTCACCCATTTCGCGACTCCGATGGCTAGCGGCGGCGGCGGCGGCGGCGGCGACGACGACCGGCAGCAGGTGGTGCTGATCACCGGGTGCTCGCAGGGCGGCATCGGCCACGCCATGGCCCTGGCGTTCGCCGCCCGGGGCTGCCGCGTCGTCGCCACCGGCCGGTCCCTCTCCTCCATGGCCGACCTCGACGGGGACTCGAGGTTCCATCTCCAGGAGCTGGACGTGCTCTCCGAGGGGAGCGTGAAGCAGGTGGTCGGGGACGTGATGGACAGGTTCGGAAGGATCGATGTACTGGTCAACAATGCCGGAGTCCAGTGCGTGGGCCCTCTGGCGGAGATCCCGATTGCTACCCTCCAGAAGACGTACGATACCAACGTCTATGGTAATGGATGTGATAATGGTTTTGTTTGTTCCCTGCACGATCTCGATTCGCTGCTTGAGGTGTGTTCTGGGGTTGATTGATTTTGGTTTCTGGGCTGTACGAGTGGATGCAATCACTGCGCTTTGTGTTGAAATGCGGTGTTCTGGGCGAATTTATTAGCTGTTTATGGACGTAGAGTGAGTCGTGGGAACTGTCCTTACTGTTTAAAGAATGCTTTTTTTGTTGTCGGTAGATGTGCCGGATGAGATAGTACATGCTGCTACTTCAAGGCTTTACATAGACAGCTCAAAGTTCCTGCTTGGCTCAAAATGTCTCTCCTGCTGATAATAGATCTACTCTGTTTGTTGCTAAGCAACCAGAAAGAGTGAAACTCTTACAACATGGGGGGTCCCGCGGATGAGTTGTTTGCCTGGGGATGTGCTTGTTTCCGATGCAACCACAGTACTGACTTAATGGTCTGAGGACTGAAGATGTGTGTGTGGTCTAATTTAGACACATGACACGGGATCGATTCCCCATAACAACGAATGGGATTGACTTAGTGATTTAAAGAATAGAGATGTGTTTGTGTGATTTAGACGCATAGCACATGTTCGGTTCCCCACACCATCGGGTGGTGCAAATAATTTCGTAGCCCGACCACCGCCTTGCACTTTAGCTTGATTTCTTAGGATCCCATATCACCGGTATAGTATAGCTTTTGGATGTGTCAGCGGAGAATACTTAATAGTAAATGAACTTTAAATCCTGGTTTGAAAGCACCATCGTAAGATATAGCAACAACACAGCTGCATTCTACTTTGTCCTATCCACGGTGCATTTGTCTCGGTACAAGAATTTCGGCTCAAAAACACAGAATGGGCTTATGCAGAATATTTAGACACTGTAAAAGCATTTTTCTCAATTGTCGTGGTGATTAGCTTTAGACAGGGTTGTCTTAGTCATCTCCTTGCCAATCCAGTCTATTAGTTTTACGCCAGACATCACATGGAAGCAGATGTATATCCTGCAGTGAACAAAAAGGGGTAGGTTAGTACCAAAAAGTAACTCAGATGCTTTCTTTCACAATATCAAATCTGGTAATTTCATGTTCTGAATCAGAAAATTTTTCATTGTCAATTCTCTTCATCCAGAAATCTCTAAATTGATGCAGATCATAAAGATCATATTGATAATGTCCCGTTATTTGTGGTCAAAACTCCAGGAAAAAGACTTCTTCAAGATCTATAGGTCAATATTAGAGTTGTAAAACTATAGTTCTCAGAGGCAATTATTCTGCATCTCTGCTTATATACATACTCATCCTGAATTTATGTTCTTTACCAGTTGCATCATATTCTTGCAAGTTGCAATTAGCCTGGGACTATGTTCATAGCATATTGCAAAATACTTTGACCTCGATGATTAACTTAAGTAACACAATTGTATCTCTTTTATCACTGATGACAGCTGGATGTTACAGCTGCAGAGTCTTAGTTCAAAACTGATCACATGTCAGAGGAAGTAATGGGTACCTTGAGACTTGTGTGGACCCATAGGTTGTTTAAAGGGGGTTTCAAAGGGTCAGGAATAGGTTTCAGATTCCAAAAGATTAGAATCGTGTCTACTTATGGTAGATGTCCTTTCAACATAGGAACCGCACACTCCTTCTGTGTGTGCTAGAGAGTGGAGACAGTAGTATGGCAGTAAAGAATGAATAAGACTGCATTTTAGTAGGTGATCTAAGTGTCAAGCTTATTTGCCACTGTCAATGTTTCCAATAAAACTAAAACATTCAGCTGCCACCCCATTCAACTTGCAGCTTATAGTTTTCAAAATTTTCTCTGTGATCCTTTCTGCTGCTTCAATCCAACTCCTTTATGATGGTTGGAACAAAGTTCTATCTCTCTATGCAAGCATGGCTCAAACTGGAAAACATTTGTCTGGTGCTCAGATTGGAGGTGTCTGCGGTAGTTTGGGATTGGTGGGATTTACTATTTACTGGGTTTTTATACAGCATTAGAATCCTTGAGCAAGTTTTGGTTGAAAATTGTCCGTGCCTTCCCTTAAGTTTAAGCTGATCTCGTGCTAGTTAATTGTGACAAAACAAACATTTAAACTTCATTTTAATGATGTCATGGGCAGTCCATCGTTACATGGGTTATAAAATGGTGTCTTCCATCTAAGATGTGGACCTGCCCAATTCCAATTTCATTTTCTTTCAGTCTCTTGGCAACTGTGAAGTGAGTGTAAAGTATCTTCTTCTCATACATTTTCTCAATATTTCCCACAGGATCATTGAGAATGATTCAAGCTGCTGTCCCTCACATGGCAACTAGGAAGAAGGGAAAAGTTGCTAACATGGGGAGTGTTGCTGCTTTGACAAATGGACCATGGGCAGGTTCTTATATTTCATCAAAAGCTGCCCTCCATTCAATGACTGATACTCTCAGGTGAGAGCATTGTTGATCTTCTCGTTCTTTTTCTTTAGGGTGGTGTCACCCTGTTGTAAAAAAATGCCTCGTATGATTGGGGGAATAGAATGAGATAGAAATGGAATGGAATGACGAATGCCGTGGAAATAGCTCTGAGAAGTACCTATGGCCTAGTTGAATGTCTCTCTTTATCACACCAACCAAACAAAGAAATAGGTAATAGGTATTAAGGAAGGAGTACGCTAGGAATAAAATAGTTGTTCCCTCTCTTTACCAAATATCTTAGTTCAAGACAGTAACTCTCGAGAGTTCTTTTTTTAAGCAAAAAATGGGTAAAGGTTAAATACTTTTTTGAGTCCTTAAATGACCTTAGCTACAACATGATGCTAACAAGAAAACGTTCTTGTACCTGCCAATCTGTAGATGTGGGTTCATATGGCAATACGTAAGTCCAGAACAAGGTGCAGTGAAATTTTATTCAGGTAACATTTTGTTATTTGGGATGAGCAGGTTGGAGCTAAAACCGCTTGGAATCGATGTCATTAACATTGTCCCTGGTGCTATCAAATCGAACATTGGAAATTCTGCAGTTGCAAGCTACAACAAGATGCCCGAGTGGAAGCTGTATAAACCGTTTGAGGCAGTGATACGTGACAGGGCTCACTTCTCTCAGGGAATCAAAGCGACCCCTGCCGAAGAGTTTGCCACGGAGGCTGTGTCTGCAATATTAAGAAAGAATCCACCTGCTTGGTTCTCCTACGGCCAGTATTCGACCGTGAGCAGTATTATATACCATCTGCCAATCTGCGTTCGGGATTTCATAATGAGGAAGGCAATGAAATGTTAGGTATGACCCAGCGTCAGCAGGTCTCCCTTTATATACTTTTGGCTTGTTCCCGCAATTTACAGAACATAAAATTGTTCTCCCCAGAAATAAGGACAAGGAAAATGGAGAAGAAAAGGTTGTTGTGAAGAATTGTGGGGAAACTGTTGACTTTCGTGACTCGTAATTTAATAGGTGGATAATGTGGACTGGAAGTCCTAAACCTTATGCACAAAATGCAATCAAAAACTAAATATTCCAATTGGTATAATTAATTCTTAAATCTTTTGTGAAAAGTGCAACTAGGTCATTTCAATAAGATGTATCTGAAATTGATTACGTGTCACTTTGAAATATAGAATTGTTTACGTGCCATACTTTTTAATGTGTTTTTCAAATCAATTGCATCATTCGGTAAAGCTTTAGGACTTAATTAAATCAATTGAAAGATTTAGGACTTGATTTGTTTCTCTTCAGTAAAGGTTTAGGATTTGGTTTGATCAATTGAAAAGTTCATGAGGTTTAGAATTTGTACAATTTTCCCTTAAATCGGCCATTCATATATCCTTCTGCCCAAATGGTTGGTGGTGAGACTAGTACCGCATTATATTTCGCTTGAAAAATTTCTGGAACTCATTTCATTTTGATGATCCTGGGTAATCTAACGTTCGTAAAAGAAGTACTATCCTCGGTAGGAATAGAGGAGATGGTAAAGAGGTTCAAATAAATTTCCTGCATCAAGTATGAAATCAACACCCTGATCTCTTTTGTCCGAACTTATTGGAATTAGCTTGTCAAGGGCAATTTCTTGTTGTTTTTGCCGGATTTCAACTGAAACTCCTACTATGTTTTTATCCTGTTTCCTCCTCAAACCTATGTTTTCACAAGCTGCGAGCCTTACTTGTTCTCTCTGCTTTTGGGTTTTATTAGCTAACTTCGGCTTTTGTGTATGAATGTGATATCTTCCGCTTTTCATGGTCTCTATGCTTTTATTCTTTGCATTCTTTCCTTGAGTTTTGCAAGTGCAATCAAGTTGGACCGGGTTTCGCAGGCTTCTCTAGCAACGGGCCCGAAGACCGGCCCGAACCCGAAAGTTTTAGGCTGTGAGCCCAAAGGACGAGCTGTGGTTCACATATGGTGTGTCTAGAACCGAGCTGTAGTCCCTGTTACCAATGACTCCCGATCTCTTTACGTATGACGTCAGCCAAAGCCTCCGACCCACCCCCTACCTACATGCAGTCCGGCCTCGAAATTACGGGGTGTGGTGTCACTGTGATTTGAGCAGAAAGAGATCTCTCGACATTTCACGCACAATCAAAATCATTAGGAAAGTAGTCGTTTGCCTTGGTCTTTGAAACGTGGAGCACCAGCAATGGCCTCCGACCAGTCGAGGGTCATAAGGAAAGACCTGTTTAGGGGCTCGGAATGAAACAAAGGAACCCTCTTTGCTACCGGCACAGGCTCACCGAGTCTTAAGGGCTCGAATCACCCTGAGGTCTGCACACCAATTAGGATTGAAAAACACCACGTCTCCAGATCCTCTCATCTGATTATTTCTCAACAGTGAATGACATTACACGGGGACTCGAGTCCGAAAGAGAAACCTAAAAATTATGGGCCAAGACTCGCTACTACAGGAGGCCAGATAACTTTCTCCCAATTCTCAAGTAACTAACTGACTCAACCTGTGGTTTAGTCCTAGACTAACCTAGCAATTAGCTGAGTTATTAATGCTGAAACCTATCAGCACAAAACCAGCTCATATTCACATACCGCCTGCTACGATCAACATGCTCCCCATGTCCAGACCAGTGGCTCATAGGAGAGAAGATGAATAGGTCGAGAGCACCCAATAATTTTGCCTGCTTTACTGGTAGTACTAAAGGCCAGATCGGCTGTTTATATTGAACAAAACCTACATTCGAAACACAATCCAAGGTTACAATTCAACCCTCAAAATGACAAATTATTTCAGCCGCTCTCTATAAATGCTTTTGCTTTATATGACATTTCAAATGGTCTCACCTGTTAACTGGAAACCAAACTCTCCACAAAGTTACTCAAATTTGTCGCGACAAAGCTGCCACAGAATATGCATCCTCATTATTGCAATTTTACTGGGAATGGTGCTGATGACTATAATACACCATGCCTGGTGGCTGAAGCGGCCGAAAACTAGGAGGAATGGGCAGTTGTTGACTCAAGGGCATGGGTTGTTGTGGAGTTAAAGCAACCGGCTGCTGAGACAAAGCCATTGGTTGTTTCTGTGCCATGGGTAACGACTGCTGACTCAAAGGCACCACTGCACTCGACACATGTGGTGGTGGGGATGGTCCGGCCGACATGGTTGGGAAGTTAACATAACCATAGGAGGGCATCCTTGCTCCAGAGGGCTGCTGCAAATACTGCTGAGGAGACTGGTTTGGAAGTAAATATGGACTTTGAGACACCGAGCCTTGATTCTGCTGAATGTTTTGCTGGTGAACAACGACAAACTGGTTCGAAGGAGCAGTATGTGGCTGAGATGGCATAAAAGCACTAGCATCTGATACTGGTGTTGTTTTCTCTGATTTAATGGAGCTCTTTGTATGCCCAGCACTCTTTGCCTCTTCAGCAGCAAACGTTGACAAAACTGAACTCATAATCAGTTGTGAGGAGCTAGAAGCTGTGAGCTTGTCTGCAACCTCAGCTGCAATGGCTGCAGCTGTCCTCTTGGGCGTTTGTCTCCCTTTTGCATTTATATCAAGGCCTTGAGTAGCAGAGGTGGGCGATTTGAATACATAATCTTCGTCCATTAGCTGTTTTCTCATACTTTCAGCTTCTTCTGCTTGTGCTTGTGCCACCTAATTGTGATAAGACATCTTATAGTTACTAGTCCTGAAGAAGCGTAAATAACTTATCCAAGCAAAAACCAGACAAAAGTTTTAAGTAGTTAAGCAATAGGATATCAACAGAAAAATTCAATGTAGACATTTGAGTTCACGAAGATTTGAGAATAAGCTAAACTGAGAAAATGCATACCTGTATTTGAGTTCGAACATTCTCAAGCTGAGATTCCTGAAAAAAGATGAAGGGTGATAAAGATCAGAATGATAAACAGATGAGTGCCCAAATCTGTAACGTACACGTGCAGAACTTGCAATAATAACCTTATTCTGCCTCATTGCAAAGAGCAGAATAATCGATAATCATTCCAATTAAATACCTGTTCATGCAGTGCTTCTTTTAAATGAGATACAAGTAATACTCTACTTGGTTCGACTGATTTGAGTTTCTCGATGCACTGCTTTAAGGTGTTCTCTTCATTCTCAAGCTCTTTAGCCAATGTTCGCCTCTTTGGATCCTTAGCTGAAGGCAGACAAGGACAAATTACATACTCAAGTCTTGAATAACAAAAAGCTTTCCGTAGACCCCAGGAATTTAAGTGCTAGTCTTTCGAGCAGAATGAAGTCCACACCAAAGTAAACTACAAGTTAGTTTCAGCTTACCAGTCGCACAGGCTACATCAACATCTTTCTCCATCTTCCTCACACGATGGACAGCAGACTTGCAGTTACTCATCTCCACATCCTCGTTAGGATGCTCACTAAGAACCAGGTGAATTGCCGAAACAATTTTTTCAGCTGTCGATCCAATCGACAATTTCTGATGTAAAAGGGATGACATCTAATTAGCGTCAATTCCAATCTCACAGGGGAATAGAACAAAAGCATGCAGCCATGATGAAGAAAGTTCCTAGAATACTAAGAAAATAAAATCCAATTTACTTGAGACAGAAAACAAAGTATTATGTGGCAACATTCTCATTCTAACCGTTCTAATTGAGCGTGAATCCCTTTTAACAATCCTGACAGAACGTGAACGCTTTCTGTTTAATTCCAAGGGAGGAAGAACTTCTTCTCCAAGCATTAAATCTTTGAGGTTCTGTGCACGGGATCCAAATACTCTTCTTTCTTCCCAGATAACAACCTACCAAAAAAACATTGAATAAGTTATCTTTCTGCTTACAAAAAAGGTAAACAGATACTCAATCAAGGTCCAAGACTGCATTGGCAGAACTTTCATACTTCACCTGCAATATCTTATAGAGTTTGCATAGAAACATACACAGCTTCAGAGAAGAAGGGAAAAGAACAACACACATGCAAGAACATTAAATGGCAGACCCACCAATCTTGAAACTACATTCTTCCCACGATCATCGCCTTTCTCAACAACATCTTTAAGTGCTGCTGGAAGAACCTTCCAGAATTCATTCACAAATTCATTTCCCTTGCGCTTGCTGTTTTGCAGTATGTCATTTGCAAGATATAATAGAGGAACTTTCTGAACCATTTCCGAGTTGTGAAATTGCTTATCCCATGTTGCAACAACCAGCTCCGCCTTACTTCGATGAAATATACACCAATGTGACAGAGCTGTGAATAGTGCATAAAGGAAAACAAAACCATAAGAATAAAATAGTTGATTTGTGCAATCAGGTTCAGGACAACCGTAGAAGAAATCACAGCAATAAAGTGAAAACCATTCCTAGTCTAGGCCGAAATTCAATGTAACCTTGATGTAACAAGAGATATTTCCAATAACCGACAGCATCCTTGCAGATCAGAATAATTGAGCACTTCCGGATGCTATACGACGACGGGCAAGAACAAGAAAAATTGATCCCAAAAGCAAAACCTACAACCAATGAACTAGATTGCCTATTACCATGCTTTACATTTCCTTCACTATACACAAACCTCATCTTGTTAGGCCACTCAGCATTATCTTCAAACAATACCTAGACCCTAACAATCAAAATTTCAAATTGCATGAAACAGAGTACATGGGTCTTTTGTAAATCCGCATCTCAAAGAACATGTACCCGTCAATGGATGCAAAGAAACTGAAGACTTTATTGGACATCTGCTAAATTCCCTAGATCAGCCGTAACCATCTTGAATAATATTACAAGGATGGGATTCCAGAAAAACTTAGGACAGAAAAACATAGAGAACCAGGAACTGCAAATTTCAAAAACTATGCTTAAGACTATAATCCCAATCTGGAACCAGAACCACAAAACACAATCTAACCAACTACTTACAGATGAAGGCATAAAAATATACGACATCTTAACCATGATAGCCATCATCCTACACACATCCTAAACAAGATATTCACTAAGAAAACAGGTTTCCAGTAACGCCAAGATGCGGAAAATGAACACAAAGAGAGGACGAGGATTAAGATGGCATTACTCTCAATGCACTGCTGTGTGCTGTTGAGCTTGGAGAGCTTGTCCGCCAGTATCTGCTCGCTGAACACGCTATTCATCAGAACTGAACACGCCCGCACAGGGATTCCTACTTATCCGAAGCGACGAAAACCCTAAGCACCACGTTCATCCACAGAAAACCCGCCCATAGCTCCCGAACCCAAGACGCAGCATCGAACCAAGAACCCAGCCGTCGGAAGAAACGAAACACCCACGTCGCGAAACCGGTCAAGATTCGGTCTTTGAACGCAAAAGCGGCCTCAATTGGAGGAGCCACACACCGGGACGAATCAAGAATTGGAGCAAAACCCAGCAGAGGAATATTGGCGAGACCACACGGGAGAAGAAATGGGCAAGTAACTCGAATCACAAGAGGGCGAGCGCCAAGATTCACATGGGATTCAAGAACCAAGAAGAGCCGCTCGCCGTGCGCCACTGAAGAACCCTAGAAGACGGTTTGATGCACGAGCAGAGACAGAGAGAGACAGAGAGAGAGTTGCAGAAGAGGGAGAGGGAGAGGGAGAGGGGGATTGGTCGATATGAAGAGGGAGGGAGGGAGGGAGGGTGGCTGAGGCATTTTGAACAGAGGGCCTTGCTCCTCAGATGGTAAGACAATGAAGAGGAGGATGAAGTTTACAACACATCCTCATTTTTTTTTTTGGGCAATCTCATTAATGTATTTTAGCAGAAAGTAAATCTCACTAATTTAATTTCACACCTTATGTAGATCTTACCCATGATGATATTCTTCAGAGACATTACTGTGAAAAATAAAATGCGAGTATTTTACAATAAATTACGACAGACCAGATACCCAACGAATTACAGAAACCCCGACTCGAGTCGCTTCGTCGATCATCGGTCTCGTGATCGCCCGTTTCGCCATTATCTCATACTTAAGGCGGGGCGAAATTGCCGCGCTTACGACACCTAATATTCCGTTATCGTTCGCTATTGAAGCTGCATGGATGTTACTTGCTCAAGCGATGATAAAGACATAATCTTGAAGGACGATTATGGAAAGATATACTTTTAGTTGTTGTTTATCGATGTTGACCGAAAATGGATCCGACCGGTAAGAATGAGCTCCTAATTCGTGAAAATAAACCGTTCTTTCTAAAGGAATATTTCAGCGAGCATAACAAAATATGAATCTCTTGTGCTAACATAAGAATCATTCTACTTTTTCTTTTTAAAATTAGAAAATTGAGCCCCCGGTCTATCTTTTTTCAAGAAATCTTATAGAAGAGAACCTTCATAATTCACCCCAATGGTGGGGCTACAATATGTGCAAACCCACATTGTGTGTATTTGTTCGCACCAAAATATGTCCAATTTATAGTTATTATCGACATGTGATAACTTGAAAAATCAACAACGTGAAGGAATTGACAATAGTGAAGTCAACAATTTCGGATGCAACAGTCAAAAAAGTAACCATCAAAGTAACGGAGTCGAAGAAATCGTCGACTAACTGTCAATAACCATTCGGTAACTATTTGTAACATTTGTTTGTTTGGATTGTACCAATGCAGGCATGTTGGTAGTCTAAGAAACTGGTGTCTCTTTGTAACTTCTTGTAACCACTAATAAGTTATTTCTTTGTGATAACCATTCGTAAACTCTCTTTATAACATCTATGTGTAACATCTCTTTGTAACTTCTCATAACCACTAGGAAGTTAATTTTTTGTAGTACCATTTGCAACTTCTATTTGTAACCTTAGTTGATAACCATCGATTATAGGCTTTAAATAGCCACACCATACTCTTCGGAGCCCCTCCCCCATATAAATCAAACAAATTTATTATCTTTTAGTATCCTTACTTTTGTACTGCAATTTACTTTCTTTAGTCATAGCTTTCAGATTTGCATTGTCAATTAAATTCCGGTGTGCATCTTTATCTCAGTACGGCATTGCCAATTAAATTCCGGCGTAATACCTTTATGTTTCCAAGTAGTGTCGTCAACTAAATTCTGAGATAGTTTGTTCATATCCTGTTATGTCATCAAGTCTGTAATTTTCAGGTCTTGTCATCGATTAAATTCCAGCTTGGTTTGGGATTGTACAATGCTATTTGAATTGGAGAAGTTGATTTGCTTTCGCATGAGATAATCTTTATCCGGAGTTGGCACACAACCCTAATGTACTTATAAAAGCCGAAGAACTACTTTCGGTGAAAAATATTTCTTCGCGGGAGCAATTCCAGTGAAATATCTTTTTGGCATGCCTGGTGGACTAGTGTGGTTGATTTGAGGAAATACAATGGTGCCCATGAGGAATCAACTTGATCCTAACAATGCTAGCGATAATAATTTGTCACCTCAACTTGGTAATGACAGAGTACAAGGTTCAATTCGCCTAATACTACGGCTTTTGTTGGTACAACCCAGACCTGAGGGTGATACCAATCAGTGGAAGTGATTTGCCTAATACTATAGCTTCTATTGGTACAACCCAAACATGTTGAGTAATACCTATCGGTGGAAGTAATTTGCCTAATACTGCAAATTCTGTTGGTACAACAAAGACCTGTGGGCCAATGTTTACCAATGGGAGTAATTTGCCAAATCTTGCTCGAGCCAATTTAAGTGGAAACAATAGTGGCAATGTGCCCATGCTGCACAAGCCCAATGTTGTCGTCAATAACCATGGCAGGCCGCCAGCAAGTTCCACAACAATTATCACAGCCAGTTTCACAATATTTAGCACAACCATTGCCACAGCTGTTCCTAGAGCACGACTTGTTGTGGCGCATGTAGTTTTTGTGCAAAATCAGCAAAGTGCTCAACTAATGTTTGACCAAACGATGCGGCAATACGAGTGTGATATGGGATACATTAGGCCTGTATATAGAAGCCGTATCCCAAGTAGATAGATTCAGTATCATATCTAAGAGGTTTTGAAATGCCTGATTTCATCCTTTTTTTCTAGCGAAGATGATCAATCATCAGTGGAGCATGTTAGTCAATTCAGTGCATAATGTGGTAATGCATCTCATGCTCATTGTTGAAAGTTAAGGCTGTTTCCATTATCATTATCTAAGACAGCCTTTACATGATATACATCTTTACCGACCAATTCTATATATTCCTAGGAGCAAATGGAGACACAATTCCATTTCCAATTCTATATGCGAGTTTTCGATGTGTTTATTGCTAATTTGGCTACTATCAAGCAGCAAAATAATGCATCGGTAGATTAATTCATGTCTAGATTCAAAATGGTTAAAAATAGATGCCTTACCTCACTTCTAGAGAAAGAATTCATAAATTTGACTTTCAGTGGATTGAAATTCAATTTTAGAGAAAAATTCGAAGTTTTTGCCGATTTATTCCAATTGGCAACGAGAGTGTCTAAGTACAGGCAATTATTTAAGAATAGAGATAGAGGACCGCATGATAGATATTACGTGCCTTTCGTGGAAAAGAATGTGACATATGATGCATCTGAAAAGATTAAATTTGGCAAGAAAAATCAAATTTGTCGATGACAAATGGGCACATGATGATTCTTGGTTTTCTCATTTAAAAAAAATTGAATTATTGATGAATTGGACACTTTTTGTTGCAAACGAATTCCCCCTTCAAAAGAATTGAATGATTCATGGTGCATACAAATTTCCCCTTCAAAAGAATTGAATAGGGGGAATTTGTTTGCACCAAAAAATGTCTAATTTTTAATTATTATCAACATGTGATAACTTGAAGAATCGACAATTTGAAGAATCAACAACATGAATGAATCAACAGTAATTGAGTCAACAATCTTGGATGCAACTGTTGATTATATGTATTAACCATCCAATAAAGAGTACATTCTAAGAATCATTTCATCACAATGCCAAAAGTACTCTCGATAGAAAAGATCAGTAAAACACAAATTTACTACTTATATACTTCCTCAAACTAGATAATTATTAAAGAACTGTTTGTGTGACATTATTTCTAAATTAATTAAAATAATCAGGAAAAAGATACTAATAGCATCACAACTTTCGTACAACACTCGTTTAGTGTCATAACTTTTCAATTGATCACTTAAGTTCTATTACTTTTGGAAACTGTTTATGCGTGACATCGGCAATTTCCTTTATTGGTAAATCCATTTAACATAAAATCATCTGACTGGGCTCGCCGAGGAAATGATGTCATCAAAAGCATGTGGAATGACATCATTTAGCCCTTTCCTTGCCCAAATTGACGAATTATGGTTAAATTAGGTCCAATTGAAAACCTTAACCCCACATTTTCATCTGCAAATCAAAAAATTGCCGAAGGTGAAACTTCATCTTGCTCTTCCTCTCAACGAGATATTGATATGCAAATTTGACCGTTTGATTATCAAGCCACATTAGTAAATAATTACCCTTTGATCAGTTATTTGTTAAGGTTTTAGGAAATGAGGGACAATTAATGAATTATAAATTTGTAGTGGAGAGGTGATCATTGGGAGAGCTTTGGTTAGGCCGGATTTAAAGATTCGGGTCTAATATGTTGCCCAAACCCATCCATCATATAAAATTAATAAAATAATTTGTAGGCTTGGCTGAGTTAAAGATGAGCGGGTCAGACTTTCACGTATAAAAGTATTGCCTAAACCTGCCAGTTTACCTCAGGCGGGCTTCGGTAGTCCGAGCTGGCCACCCTTCTATTGATTACTTTACCAACAAGACAATAAAATATACATTTTAAGGATCAATTAATCACAATGCCCAAAGTGCTCTTAATAGAAAAGAGTAAAAAACGAATTTATTGTTTATATATTTCCTCAAACTAGATGTATATTAAGATATTGTTCATGGTACATCCTTTCAAAATTGATAAAAATAATTGGGAAAATGACCCTAATAGCGTCACAACTTTTGTATAATGCTCATTTGATGCCACAACTTTTCAATCAATCAATTATCTTCCATTATTTTAAAGAATATTCTCTTGCATAACATCAGCAATTTCACTTATCAGAAAATCATACGTGGTATTTGTTTAACAAAAAAATCCTCCGACAGGCTCACCGAGCAAATGATATCAAAATCATGTAGTACAATGTCAGTCAACACTTTCCTTGTCCCAAATCGACGAACTGAGGTTAAATTAGGTCCAATCAAAAACCCTAACCTCACATTTTCATCTACAAATCAAAAAATTACCGAAGGTAAATGTTTCATCTTAGTCATCCTATCGATGAGATACTTGTATGCAAATTTAAGTGTTTGATTATCAAGCCACTTTAGCAAATAATTACCCTGATAAGTTATTAGTTAAAGTTTTATGAAATCAAGGACAATCTTATGTTCAATGATAAATTGTAGTTTAGAGGTGATCATTGGGAGGGTTCTAGCTAGGCAGTGTTTAAAGATCAGGCTTAATGTGTTGCTCAAGCCATCATAAAAATTTAAACAATAATTTTTGGGCTAGGTTGGGTTGAGGATGAGCGGATTGGACTTTCTTGTGTAAGAATGTTACCTGAACGTGTCATTTACCTTTCAGGCCAAGGCGAGCTTGTGTAGGCAGAGCGGGTTGCCCGTCCATTAATTACCTTTAC